TGGCCCCATCAATAATATCAATACTAGGGGTGGCCCCACCATTCCTCATCAAAGTCACCTGAAGAAAAAAGTAGGTGAAGATCTGAAAATGAAGGGCCTTAAAAGCAAGATCAATGCTTTGATGTCTGCTCAAGAGGTAAAGAAGACCGGCATTCCATGTTATTATCCGAGGGAGTGGGAATCGATTTCGTACCCGACTAAGTTTAACCTGATTAACTTCACACTATTCGATGGAAGGGGTTTGCCCACTCAACACTTGATTTACTTTAAGTCCCACCTAGGCATCATTTCAGGCAATGAACCTCTGATGGTACGATCATTTGTTGGGACCCTTCGCGTGGCCGCCTTCGACTAGTATTGTCGTCTTAAGCCAAGAAGTATTAATAGCTGGGACAACATGGAGAGTATGTTTCTCACCAATTTCTTTGATGACGACACTGAGGTGTCAATCAGAACACTATATGATGAGAAGCAAAAGGACGGAGAATTGGTCAAGAACTTCGTCAAGCATTTTTGGAAAGGTAAAGAACTACCGAGATCCAGTCACAGAGGAATTCATCCTCCGAACGTGTCATAATAATCTTTCCTTGGATGTGCTGGAAGCTATGGGCGTAGCACCATCCAAGACTTAGAAAGAGTTGAAGGTACACAGAGAGCAAGCCGAACGATTACTTAAAAGAAAGAAGACCGAAAGAGGTCAACCAACACCTAATTCTCCAAAGCAAAACTTCGTCCCTTGTGGTAAAGGGAAGGCGTAAGCAAATGCTGTGGATGCCAACCAGACCTTGCATCTACAATCGCAATAGCAATAGCAACCACAACAATAGGTGCCAAAGCAGCAATCATCTCAGTGGCAGCAACGACCTCAAAGGCAACAGAAGCCTTCTGAGACAAAATTTCCAAAGGAATACTCCTTCAAGGAAGATGAGGTCCCCGATATCTTCAAATACCTGTTGGAGAACAATAAGATCAAGCTACCCCCAATCACCGATCACGAGGGTGCCAAGAAGACTATAGATCCACGATACTATGCATTCAACAAGGTAGTTCGTCATCCCACTGAAATATGTTATGCCCTTAAAGACAAGATTCAAGTCTTGATTGATGTTGGGATTATCACCACAAAGCAACCCAAGGAGAAGAAAGTGGGTGCAAACATAGTAAGCATTAGTTTTAGCTCTATTCCCCTCACGTGGTTTCAACCAGAACCTGTGACAAAGGTAGGAATGAGGACGGTTAATGAAGATCATCACGGACAATGCCAGAAAGGAATATTACCACACATGGCTCCCAACAACAAAATTCTTTGGGTTCATCCTGATCTACTTCAAGATGAGCAATGGACAGGATCCTCCTCAAATTCTTTGGGTTCATCCTGATCTACTTCAAGATGAGCAATGGACAGGATCCTCCTCCAAGAAGAAATCCAAGTCCAAAGGCCTACTTCAAGATGAGCAATGGACAGGATCCTCCTCCAAGAAGAAATCCAAGTCCAAAGGCAAGGGGAAAGCTTATCATGCCACTACAGCTATTCCGGATGAAAATGATGAAGGAATCCCTACCTTCCCACCTTCTAATAATGAGCATGAAGCTTTTGCTACCAGTGAAAAACCGACCTTTGTTACTAGAAGTGGATACGAATATCGGTTCGACTATTCCACGATGGCCGATTAGCCAGCTAAACAGGGGGTGGTTATGACCACTCCCAATCCTTCCGAAGAAACTTCTTGGCAGCAGTTAACCCCTAAACAAAAGGAGACTATAAGCAATCAGAAAGATAAAGAGCCTCAACATCAAGAGGTTCAGAACCCGAAGCAGTCTTGATTCAATCTTTTGATTAGAGGAGATAAACCGGGGAATTTGAATACTCCATACCGCTTTGATGTTATGGTCCAATTAGCTAACATCCTAGCGAGAATAACTCTATAAGAGTTATTTTGTCTGTCTAAAGACACCAGAGAGGTCCTGCAAGAAGCCCTGGCTAACTGATGTATTCCTCACCCAGATCAAGCCGATCCCCGAAGAACCGGAGTCTTCAGCTCAACACTACAACCTTACAGCCAAACAATTCCCTTGCATCACCTTCACCAAGGAAGATATGCAAGTAAGAAATTCGAAGCATGATAGGCCTTTATACTTCACTGAATACATTGGCTCTAGCATGGTTAACCGGATCCAAATCGATCCTGGTTTCGCTGTTAGCATCATGCCGCTTTGACTGATGTACAGCCTCGGGATTCCAGCCAACAAGTTGGCCTCCACAGGTACCATCATCTATGGGTTCAACACCAGTGGGATTAGACCATTGGGCAAAATCTGAGTAAAGTGCCAGCTTGGAGATCTAAAATCCGAAGTCACATATTATGTGATAGATGCAGAAACCTCTTATAACTTACTATTGGGTTGACCCTGGATCCATGGTAATATTATAGTTCCTTCTACTCTCCACTAGTGTCTCAAGTATGTAGATACTAATAATGAGGTCAAGATGGTGGTCGCGGATAGAAAACCGTTTAAGGGATTAGAAAACTATTTCACGGATTCCCTTCTTTACGGTGCTGAGTCTGACACTGAACCATCAGCCCAAGGCACAGATAGCGAAGAAGAAGCTGACACCGAGGCTGGGCTTAATTACAATAGAGGTTTTGTATTAAATAACATTGTACCATTTGTAATCAATCTTAACGGTAGAGAATCATCAGATGGTAGCTATAATTGGTAACTTGCAAAGAAGTAATAAATGGCGATTTAGAGTACTCGCCTTCTCTTGATGAGATAATGAAGGGATTATATGATGATCTCGATTTACACATGACATTCCTATCATCTTGCGTGACAAGGAAGCATATCCAAGACTCTTTTAGGATGACCCTTGTCATTACTGCTAAGAAAAAGGGTTAACAAGAGATAATTTACGGGAAAGGGGAGATATCTCCAATGCCGAACCATTTTTCGAGAGATGATAGTGACGATGAGAAGCTTGCTCCTCACTTATCTAAGTACAGTTAAAAAGTGCATAACCTCATAAAAAAGTGGGGATACAATCTAACACTTAGAGAAGGACTTTGCTTCGGTCGAGGTCCTCAAGTTTTGATTAAGGCTGTTTATGTACCAAAGGGGAAACCTTATAATTACTACACGTACAGAAGAGGTCTAGGCTATATCTCTTCATCCGAAGACGAATGCTGCTAGTAAGTCATTGAACAGTTAGCAAATAAAGACAGGTACTTGTTCGATTCTTCACATTGGGGCTCCGATGCCAGCCTTAGAGATGCTCAAAAAGCTAATATCGAATATCGCCACTGTCGACCCCATCACAATAGGGGAATATGATCAACTACCAACTTTGGAAGACCCATGGATCCACCACCTAAATATCCAATATGGTGACCAGTTCGAACAAAGAGAATCTCCCGCTGAGGATAAAGTGGTCTAGGTAAACATGGGTGACGAAGCCAACCCGAAACCCATATTCGTCAGCGATAGTCTCCCACCAGAAGAAAAGGAGTTGATTGCCCTCATCAGGGAGTACATCGATGTTTTCGCCTGTAACTATGAAGACATGCCAGGACTTGATCCGAACGTGGCGATCCATCACCTCAACATCAAATCGGATGCCAAGCCCATCAAGCAACAACAAAAATGGTTTCGCCCACAAATTATAGAGGTGATTGAGGCTGAAGTTAAAAAGCTAATCATTTCAGGCTTCATCCGGGAAGAGCAACATCCCGATTGGCTTGCAAACATCGTTCCAGTTCTAAAGAATGGGAAAATTAGGATCTGCATCGATTTTAGAGACCTGAACACCGCCTGCCTGAAAGACAACTTTCCTCTCCCTATTATGGATGTCATCATCAACAACACGTATGTGTTCGAGAGAATGTTATTTATGGATGGATTCTCAGGATACAATCAAATCAAGATATATCCGGATGATGAGAAACATACTACCTTAAGGACACCTCTCTGCATCTTCGGTTACACAGTCATGCCTTTCGGCTTGAAGAATACAGGCGCTACGTACTAACAAGCAATGACGAAGATTTTTTAGGAACACCTCCGGAAAGCCGTCCAGTGCTACGTTGATGATTTGGTTGTTAAAAGCTGCAACAAAGATGACCACATTAAAGACTTGAGGACAATGCTCGATATCATGCAAAGTCATCAATTGAAGATGAACCCTACCAAGTCTTTCCTCGGAATGTCTAGTGGTAAATTCCTTGGGTTCGTCATTACCACGAAGGTCATCCATGTTGATCCCGACAAGGTTAATGCGATAAATGAATTGCAACCCCCGAGAAACCTCAAGGAACTCAGGGGACTATAAGGAAGACTGGCTTACATTCGGAGATTCATTTCGAACCTGTCTGAGAAATGTTAACCATTCTCAATGCTAACAAAGAAGGGTGTATCTTTTATATGGGACAATGCCTGTTAGAAGGCATTTGAAGATATCAAGGCATATCTCTCAAATCCTCCTATTCTCGTAGCACCAAAGTCGGGTAAACCATTTTTGATTTACATCAAGGTGATGAACCACTCGTTAAGTGCTTTACTTGCACAAGACGGTGACAACGGTCGTGATCAGGCAATATATTACCTAAGTCAAACTTTGGTAGGTGCTGAATCTCGGTACCTGATGATTGAAAAAGAATGTCTCGCATTAGTGTTCGCCATATAAAATATGTGACACTACCTCATTGGGCAGAGGATTTACATCATCTTGAACATTAATCCAGTCCGGGTTTTCATAACGTAATCGGCCTCCATGAATTTATGGCTAGCAAAATGGGTCCTTCTCCTATCCTAATACGACTTGCATTTTAAGCAACAAAAGTCAGTTAAAGGACAGACAATTTGTGATCTTCGGGTGGCTAACCCTTACAACAGATACAGCCGAATTATATGAAGATTTACTCGATGAAACCCACAAAGTAACCACTACCTTACATCAACAGGTATGGCAATTGTAGTTCGACAGGGCTTCCAGAGCGACTAATATGGTAAGCGCTCCTGGTAAGTCTAGAATTTCTGTGGGAGTCAGAGTTGTCCTAGTTTCCCCAGAGAAGCATGTGATGCCTCGAGCCTACTCATTGATTGGGAAATGTTCCAACAATGTAGCCGAATACAACATGCTGCTTATGGGACTTAGTTTTGTCGAAGAGCTGGGTGTCGAATATCTCAAAGCTTTTGGTGATTCCCAACTAATAATCAACCAAATACGTGGAGAGTACAAAGTCAGAAACCAGAGCCTGTTTCCATACCACAAGGCGGACGTCGAGATGACATACTCTTTTGAAGGATTTTTCATTGAGTACATCCCGCGTATCCAAAATGTATATGCAGATGCACTGGTAACATTAGCAGTATCTCTGGCACAACCTCCCGAAATGGAACAATTGGTCATCATGAGAGCTCACCAGCTCTTCATACCAGAGTGCGCCTTGGATGCCAAAGAAGCACATGCAACTAGAATTAAACTCGAACCCCAAGACTAGCTTTTCCTATTATCGATTATGTCTTGCACATAATTTTATCAGAAGACATAAAAGAAAGAGACTCAGTCCGGCAAAGAGCACCGAGATTTTATTAAAATACGGCAACTCAGACAATGTATCGTTGCACATATGACAGTTTGTTACTCCAATAACCTTCAACCAAAGAGGCAGAGGAGGCTCTTAAGGAAGCGCATGACGGAATATGTGGTGCACATCATCCCGGTCCCAAGCTCTATGATGGTATCAGAAGAATTGGATATTATTAGCCAACCATGGTCAAGAACGTAGTTGACCATGCCCGGCGGTGTTATGCATGCCAAGTACATGCAAAATACATGCACCAACCCCCAGAGCACTTGCACTATTCATCCACTTCATGACCATTTGAGACATGGAGAATGGACATTGTTGGTCCTATCTTTCCACCATTGGTTAAAGGTGATCGCTTCATCCTGACGATTATTGACTATTTCTCCAAGTGGACTGAAGCTATTCTGCTCAGAGAAGTAAAGACAAACAACGTCATCTTGTTCATCAAACACCACATCATTTATCGATATGGTGTGCCGAAGCGAATCGTGCATGGCAATGGCCCTCAGTTTGTCAGTAACGCCTTCATCAAATTCTACAGGAAGTTCAGGATTAAAGATGTTTTATCAATGGCATACAACCCACTGCAAATAGATTAGCTGAAGCTTTCAACAAGACAATCATAAAGATTTTGTCGAAACTTGTGAGAACCAATAAACGAGACTGGGACGATAAACTTGGTCAAGCTCTCTGGGCCTATCGTACGATAGTCCACATGCCTATTGGTACAACCTCATATTTTTTAGTATACGGATGTGAAGCCGTCCTCCCATTAGAGATTCAGATTCCCTCCCTACGTATTGCTCTCGCTACGGGGATGACGACCGATCAAAAACATTAGAAACGCCTTGAAGAACTCGAGATGTTAGATGAAAAGTACTTAGAGGCCCAACAACAAATTCAATTTTATCAAGTCAAAATCTCTAGGGCTTTTGATAAAAAAGTCTGGCAGTGAAGTTTTAATGAAGGAGACTTGGTCCTTATCATTCGACGACCGATGATTCTCTATTCCAAGAAGAAGGAAAAATTCCAACCTAAATAGGAAGGACCGTTCGTGATAAAAACGGTTTACTCGAATGACGCATATCGTTTGGTCACCCAAAACGGTGACAAACTTATGATGCCAATAAATAGAAAGTTCCTGAAGATGTACTATCCCTAGTACGTTCGGGATAACCTATTTAATGGGAAGTTCCCGGAGAATGCTACACAGGGTATTCTTAAGGATAACCCAAAACCTATTGATTCTTAATCATGACATAAAAAATTAAAATAATTAAGAACCTCCCACTATGGCTATTTAATCATTTCGAAGATGATTAAAACCATTCCACTATGATTTTCAAAACATCTTTTCGTTGAGATGAGATTTAATGACTTTATCAAGTCAATCTTCCCTCACGAAGCTCCCTTTGTGACTCTGACATCCTTCGAGGATAAAGCACAGTTCATCTGCCTACATGCCAAACCATTTCTCGGTCATCAGCATTTTCATGATAATCAGGACTTTCTTTTGAAGCGAAAGATAACAAGAATCTTCTTTCCTTCGTCCATAATCCTTAGTTTATTTCAATCACCAGGATCTATTCTATCTACTCCCACTGTGTTTTGGAACCTTCTTTCATTGATATGAGATTTGATGGCCCCATTGGATCAATTTTTCCTCGTGAAACTCCCACAATGCAGTTATGGAGTACTTAATGATTCATGGTCCTTCACCATAAAATTCCTCACTGATCAAATCAATTAACAGTGAGTCTACAAAATTCTTTCAACTGAGTCCATCGAAATTCCCACCGTGTCTGTGTACTTAACACACTCATTGTTAAAGTCCTGACACAACACTTGAAATCTTAATCTGATGAACCATGGTGATCATCGAAACCCCCTTCGTGTCAAGATCTTCTCACTTAGCACCAAACCCCCCACTAAGTGAGCTGTATAAGTCAACATTCTCATTGTTATTTGTATTTTTACTCCCACTAATTCTTGGTCAAACCTTCCTATAGTTAGGACCAAAGGTAAAATCCCCTCTTGATTCTTTCAATGAACGAGAGACCCACTTTCAAAGCTAGATTTCCCTTTCGATAAACAAAAATCCTCCACCCAATTTGAACGATCAAACCTTCCCACGGTTTCGATCAAAGTTAGAATTCCATCTCGATAAACGAGAAAGTTTTTCTTCCGATCGGGTAATCAATCCTATAAAAGTTAGGGTTATTTAGATCTCTTTGATTCTCAGAGTGGAGATCCCACTCTTAGTTTTACCTTTCAGGAGTCTTGAGGTCGAGATCCCACTTTGACTTTCTTTCGCAGGAGATAAAATATAAAATTCTTCCTCTCAAGCATCATCTTGATAAATGAGAAATTTGTTTGTAGATCGGGTAACCAATCCTATAAAAGTTAGGGTTATCTAAATTATTTCGATTCTCAGAGCAAAAATTCCGTTCTAAGTTTCTTTTGCAGGAGATAGAATATAAAATTTTTCCTCTTCAGAGTTGGGTTCGTCTTTGCCCCAAGAAAACACACATCTTTCCACCAAAATCCATGCCTTTCAAGCATAGAGGACTTTATCTCGAACCCTAAATAGAGATAAGTCTACGCCTAACACGCAATACTGGTTAATATTTCATCATGAAAAAGACACCAAGATTCATGCCTGGGGGAATTTATTCTAATTCCTAATTAGAGATAAGTCTGCGCCAAATACGCGTTGCCGGGTGGTCCATTCCCGCAAAAATGATCAAGTCTACGTATTCAACATCGTAGCACCAAAATCCATACCTTTCATGCATGGGTGACTTTATCTTGATCCCTAAATAGAGATAAGTCTGTGCCTAACACACGTTACCGATTAGTCTTTCATCGTGAAAAAGACACAAGAATACATGTCTGGGGGACATTATCTCGATTCCTAATCAGAGATAATTCTACGCCTAACACGCGTTGCCGGGTGGTCCATTCCCGTGAAAATGACGAAGTCTATGTATTCAAAATCATAGAATCTAGTCTAAGAGAGTTTATTCTCTTAGCACAATATTACATGTGAAACGGGTTTTAACAATTCACACGCTGGCCCAGTTCAAACGGTAATCGGTAAGGGCACGCCAAATTCATTGATGGATGAGGGTTTGCCAAAAATCCTATGAACACCCCGCAAAGAATGGTTAAGTCTATGTATTTAAAATCATAGCACTAAGTCTAAAAGAATTCATTCGTTTAGCACAACATTATATGTGAAACGGGTTTAACAATTCACATGCTAGCCCGATTCAAATGATAATCCGTTGAGGGCTAAAGATTTACCAAAAATCCTATAAGTATTGTGATTATTTGTCCTAGATTGGATAAAAAAGTCATAACAAGAAGGAGAACGCGTTAAGTAAAAGACTTTGTTTCATTAATAAAGTCAAGTTAAATGAAGATACAAAAGTGGAAGCTATCAGTCCGAATACAATCCACGACAGAGTATCTGAAGTTCCAATGTAGAGAGCTCATTTGCATAACTCAGCTCGAGTTTAGCCTATAGCTCTGTGACGCCCCAGGGTTCACATAAGGCTGCAGTCTAAGGTAAAACCCAGATTGCCAAACCTGCCAAGCACCAAACACCATGCTACGACATGTTTCACCATCACAGTCACTATCTCTCTAGTGGAAACAACAAATAGGTGAATGTACAAAACAGGAAAATAATAGAATTAGTACAAAATCAGATATGCACATAAGAAGTATATCAACAAATGAGCCCAACTGAAATAGAATGAAAATATCTCTGAGTCTGAAATACATCTCAACACAATGAGTCAAATAAAATCTCACTAAGGCACGCAGCCTCTACAAAATGAATACAACTCTAAAATCTGAACAATGAACATAACTATATAATGGAGCTTCAACTGCTAAAACTATGCGACGACGACTATGCTAGAACTCTGTCATCCCGCGGCTCTCCGAAACTCTAATCTACCTAAAAGATACAATTTAAACAAAAAGAACAACAACAAGAGCGTCAGAGCGCTACAGCAAGATCACCTCCATCCGCCCCTAAGGGAAGGGCTGCTAGATGAAGTGGAGGCTCTATCTATTAAGTATAGTCTACCTATATTATTTTTCCCGTATCTAATGGAGTTAATATTTAGACACCTACAAGATGAGACATAGTACGCCGAGAAAAATAATCTAAACAAGGAAACCCTCATATATATACCATATGTCTCAAATTGTAGATCCCTAAATACCAATTCCAACTCTATGAATGAAAACAACACTCACAAGAAATACTCTAAGCCTAAACCATATAGGACCAATGTCACAATCTCGAACTACTTCTCAAGTAGTTGGCGCAATAATAAGAGAATATCATCTAACTCAAAAAAAATCACCATAGGCCATATCCTGTATGTCACAAATCAAGGAATGTGCCCTACTCCTGGGTAATCTAACATGGAAGTAACTACAACTGATGATACATATATGTGTGCATCTCCTTATGCTATAGCGATACTCTTGTAATATTCTTACTCAATTGCTCTGCGGCAATAGGTTTTGTCTCCTTATTCCGGATACATAAAATAACAATACTATTATAATACTCTTACTCAACCGTTTTGCGGCAAATAGGTTTTATTGCCCTATTCCGGATACATAAAATGATGATACTTTTGTAATACTCTTACTCAATCATCCTGCAGAAATAGGTTTTATCTCCCTATTCCGGATACATAAAATGATGATACTTTTGTAATACTATTACTCAATCATCCTGT